TAAGCTTTAGAAAAGGATTTGCGAAAATCGCACTCTGATTTTAGTAAACTAGTGGGGTGTTACAAATTGGTATCAGAGCACATTTTTGTGTATCTAAACACTTTTTAAAATCTGAAATTTTCAGAAAAGACCCGACCACGTTATGCTCACGCCTCCCCGACTATCAGGTAAGTGCTGAGTTACAGTTTATATATTTAAATGAATACTTAAGTCTATGCTCAGTAAAAGGGTATAAGATATTTGACCCTAGAAATCAGTAAGATGCTCGAGTATATTCAGAACTTAGTCGATTGTCCCAGTCATTTGATAGTTCGACTTTAGTATTCTCGGGTTATTTAGCGACTCGTCAAGAGATTTGTGTATTTAAGTAATCAGTCAGTTAATCTCTTATGTTATTTAATCATGTTAAATATTTCAATGTTCAGATGCCTCCTCGTAGAGAGCCAGATCACCAGGAACTCCCACAGGCCACAGTGGTCGCTTTGTTCCGCGACTACCATCCAGAAAAGTTTTCCGGCCAAGGAGATCCTCGTGTAGTAGATGAATGGGTTCAGGGTCTCGAGATTATTTTCGAGGTCATGAACTGCCCCGATCGTTATCGCATGTTATGTGCCCAGATCCAGTTGACCGGTGATGCCAGACTCTGGTGGCAAGCCTATTGGACTATGCGTCCCGGTGAAAAAGACGGTTGTACGTGGGACCAGTTCAAGGAGCTGATCCGAGAAAAGTATTATCCCTCGTATTACCGAGCATACATGGAGCGCCAGTTCTTGGCACTCACTCAGGGTACTCGTACTGTCGACGAGTACGAAAGAGAGTTCACCCGTCTCGTAGCCTTTGTACCTGATCTTGTGAGTACAGAGGCGAAGAGAGCCCACCGTTTCACCGACGGACTTCGCCCAGCAGTCCGCCACAGCATCGTAGGCCACGGCGTCCAGACCTACGCCCGCGCAGTGGCCATTGCACAGGAAGTTGATGCCAGTATCCGACGAGAAGCCACCCAGACACCAGCCCAGCCAGTTGCTGAGCCACCAGCCCAGCCCAAAGTAGCCCAACCATCAACAAACCAGAAGAAGAGGAAGCTCAGAGGGGGCTCAGACAACCGGAGGACCCGTCCCAGACAATATCCAGAATGCCTAACCTGCGGGAAACACCACCGTGGAGAATGCCTCGTGGGCCAGAATGTTTGTTTCTTTTGCCGCCAGCCAGGTCACTTCAGTAACAACTGTCCAGAACGACTACAACAACAACCGCAACAACGTCAACCGCCACAACAACCTTAACAACAGCAACTTCAACAACAACAGCCCAGGCAGCAATCACCACGACCACAGCAACAGCAACGCGGCAGACAGCAGGCTCGCGTCTTTGCAGTTGATCAAAGGGAGGCCGACCAGCACCCAAGTACCATGTCCGGGATGATTATTCTTAATGATGTGCCTGTCTATGCCTTATTTGATACCGGAGCGACCCATTCTTTTATATCACGTCGATGTCTCGAAACTATTGGGATTCGTTCCACTACCACTGTCGATCCTCTCGAGGTGAGTTTAGCCTCGAGAAGAAAGATAGTGACTGACGCTAGAGCCACCGATCTCAGCCTTTCCATCGGCGGCCGTATTCTGATTACTGATACTTATGTTATCGAGATGAGGGATTTTGACCTCATACTCGGTATGGATTGGCTAACTCAATTTCACGCAGATATTCGATGTTACGACCAGGAGATTACTCTTTATCTTCCGGGAAATGATCAGATCACTTATTACGGCTCCAGGACTCGTACTCTGCCACATGTTATTTCTATGGCGAAAGCCAGAAAGATTCTTCGACGGGGTGATTGCCAAGGTTATATAGTGAGCCTCGTTGGAGATGAGCCAAAGGGTTCACCTCATGACATTCCTATCGTTCGTGAGTTTGTGGACGTGTTTCCAGACCAGCTTTCCGGAGGTCCACCTTGCCGACATGTGGAATTTTCTATTGATCTTATTCCTGGAGCCGGATCCGTTTCAAAGGCACCGTACAGAATGGCGCCTAAAGAATTGCAGGAATTAAAGACCCAAATTGAAGAGATGCTGAATCTCGGTTTTATACGACCGAGAGTTTTTCCTTGGGGAGCACCAGTCCTTTTTGTCAAGAAAAAGGACGGATACATGCGTATGTGTATCGACTACCAGGATCTTAACCGGTTGACGATCAAGAATAAATATCCGCTTCCCAGGATTGATGATTTATTTGATCAGCTGAGGGGTGCCTGCGTGTTTTCCAAGATTGATTTGCGTTCAGGCTACCATCAGCTGAAAATCAAGGAGTCAGACATACCCAAGACAGCTTTTCGTATGAGATACGGTCACTTCGAGTTCGTGGTTATGCCGTTTGGCCTCAGTAATGCCCCGGCAGTATTCATGGACTTGATGAACCGTGTATTTCATCCTTTTCTCGACCAGTTCGTTATTGTCTTCATCGATGATATTCTTATTTATTCCAAGAGCCAGGAGGAGCACGAGGAGCACCTGAGGGCCGTTCTTTCGACCCTTAGACGAGAGAAGTTATATGCAAAATTCTCTAGGTGCGAATTTTGGCTTCAACGAGTGGCCTTTCTTGTTCACATTATTACTTCAGCAGGTATTGAAGTTGATCCTTCCAAAATTGCTGCAGTCCAGAATTGGTCAGCACCGAAGAATCCGTCCGAGGTTCGTAGTTTCCTCGACCTTGCAGGTTATTATCGTAGATTTATCGAGGGGTTCTCGAAGATTGCACTCCCGTTGTCTCAGCTGAAGAGGAAGTCTGTAAAGTTCGAGTGGACAGACCGTTGTGAGTCGAGTTTTCAGGAGCTGAAAAGGAGGCTTACGACGGCACCAGTGTTGACTATTCCAGATCCTTCTCGGAGCTTCACCATCTATAGTGATGCTTCGAGGCAGGGTTTGGGATGTGTACTTATGCAAGATGGCCAGGTCGTTGCTTATGCGTCACGCCAACTTAAAACACATGAACAGAACTATCCGACGCACGACTTGAAATTAGCTACAGTTGTTCATGCCCTCAAGATTTGGCGACACTATCTATACGGCAGTCAATGCGAAATCTTTACTGATCATAAGAGCTTGTAGTATATCTTTACTCAGAAAGAGCTCAACATGAGGCAGCGCCGTTGGTTAGAGCTCGTCAAGGATTACGATTGTACGATCCAGTACCATCTGGGAAAGGCGAATGTTGTTGCTGATGCCCTATGCCGCAAGGTAAAGGGTGACTTGACATACGTTGTTACCCAGCAAAGCCAGTTGATTCAGGAGTTCGCCCGGATGCGGATTCAGGTGATTGATGCACTTCCTACTGCCAGTACGGGGAGTGTGAATTCCATGCAGGTTCAGCCGATGCTGAGGAAGAGAATCCGGCAAGAGCAGGCTTCAGATGAGTTTATTCGTACGATTGATGCCAAGGTTCGTGCCAGAGGCGTCGAGGGTTTTCACCGAGGCACTGATGGGGCCTTGGAGTTTCGTGGCAGAATTGTGGTGCCTAAAGTCAAAGCATTGAGGAAGGAGATTTTATTTGAGGCTCATACTGAACCCTATCTAGCCCATCCAGGAAGTAGAAAGATGTACCATGACCTGAAAGGGTCGTTTTGGTGGAAAGGATTGAAGAAAGACGTTGCCGACTTTGTAAGAAGATGTTTAACCTGTCAGCAAGTCAAGGCCGAGCATAAGAGTCCCATAGGCCTTCTACGACCACTACCGATTCCGAGGTGGAAGTGGGAGGAGGTTGCGATGGAATTCGTCACGGGGTTACCGAGGTCGTCTGAACATCACGACGCTATCTGGGTGGTGGTCGACAGATTGACTAAGGTTGCTCATTTCTTGCCAGTATCGATGAGTATGTCTTTGGATCAGTTGGCTGAGATTTATATCCGTGGGATCATTCGACTCCATGGAGTACCTGTTACTGTTGTGTCAGACAGAGACTCCAGATTCACCAGTAGATTCTGGAAGAGTTTACACGAGGCAATGGGTACGAAGCTAGCCTTCAGTTCAGCCTACCATCCCGAGACTGACGGACAGACAGAGCGGACTATACAGACGTTAGAGGATATGTTACGCGCTTTGACTGTTGATAGGGGTGCTAAATGGGAGTCGTTGTTGCCGTTCGTAGAGTTCGCGTACAACAACAGTTATCATTCTTCTATTCAGATGGCTCCTTATGAGGCACTATACGGTCGAAAATGTCGTTCCCCTCTTTATTGGGACGACGTTGGAGAACGTCGAGTACTCGGTCCGAAGCTGATCGAGGAGACAGCCGAGCACATCGAGTTGATTCGGCAGAGACTCAGGACAGCTCAGAGCAAAATGAAATTAACCGCCGATCATCATCGACGAGATATCCAGTTCGAGGTTGGCAAGCACGCTTTTCTCAGAGTTAGTCCATTTCGCGGAGTTATTCGATTCGGGAAGAGAGAGAAGTTGCACCCTCGGTTCATTGGCCCGTTCGAAGTACTCGAGCGAGTGGGCGATGTTGCGTATCGTTTAGCCTTACCTCTAGAGCTATCCAGTGTTCACAATGTCTTTCATGTATCTATGTTACGCAAGTACGTGTGCGACCCCGATCATGTCATTCCTCATACTTATATTGAGATTAATCCAGACTTATCTTACGAGGAGCGATCGGTAGCTGTGTTGGACCGACAGGTTCGACGGCTCCGGAAGCGTGATGTTCCCCTCGTACGTATTCAGTGGGATCGCCACGGAGCCACATGGGAGCAGGAGGCTGACATTCACGCTCGTTTTCCCGACTTTCAGTTTTGATATGTATATTTTCGTGTATATATGTTTTGTTTATATTTCCGAGGACGGAAATATTTTAAGGGGGTAGATTGTAATAACCCAAATTTTTGTTAATAGAAATGATGTATTATCTCTTATTCATTCCATTCATTTTCAGTGAATAAGTTCGTCGTTAAGTTGAAAAGTTTATCTGGTTAATTATTAACCGAGTCAAATTCGATAATTAATTTCCGAACCGTTTATTTTATAACGGATATCATTAATCGGGATTAATTATTAATAGTTTAGCATGTTCAGAATTAAGTTCGAGGTTGAAACTAAGCTAAGTTGCGAAAGAACGCAAGGTACACGAAGTATACACACGTACACGCACTCATGCACGCATGCCGTGCGCACAGCCACGCACGCGAACGCGCACAGCGCGCATCGTCGCGCACGGTGCGTGGCGCGCGCATCATTAGGACGCTAAGCACGCACTTAGGCGACGCTTAGCAACATCATCAGGCCAAATGTAACACCCCACTTTGATTTTAAAGAAATTCCGGACTTTCCAAAAATCAGTATAAAATTTTCGAAACTCATTTTCGAAATCATGGGCGTTATACAACAATAAACATCAACCAAGTCATATCTGGTTGTTCACATGGTTTTCATTAACCTTTCGAAACCCAACTCCACATGAATATTTGCTAAACACTAGAGCATGCACATAATATTCAAAAGACAATACCTTTATGAATAACCAAATCCAATCATTTGACCATAAGTTATCAAAATACGTTTTGAAAATAGTTCAAGCATCTCAATCAAAAGAGGTTCTCAGATA